ATAACTTGATAAAGACAATACGCTTTCGTCTCCTCTGTATTGCTGTAGTTCTAGACATTCAGACAGAAAAACCTGAGCTATTCCTACATAAGAAAATTATCCAACCACTCCTACTATCACGGTACCAACCTTGATGATTTCTATTTACTTGAGTTTTGTTTGTTTGTTTTTCTAACACCTTATAACCCTTATATTTCTTCACCATGTTTTCCTTCGTTCCTATATGCATCTTGATTACAACTACTCATCAAATTATTCGTCTTATTACGTAACTGTGACATGCTTGTCCAAATCCTGTCAGGCATTGATTAACATTAACAACTATTTTGTACTCATCACTTCTACTACTACCCTTCTTCATGGAAGAATCCTAAATAAATATGATTGTACAGCTAAAGAGAATGAATTCTCGAAAACAGCCTCTTCAGTGAACTATGTGTTTCGTTTCCATGAAGTCCTGTAATGTATATAAACGTACTGTTTAGGATAAATCTGTTATTATTATTATTTTCCCAAATACAAGGAAAACAATTCTGTTAAGGCTTAGTCATCAATGTGTAATCCCACTAGACAGCACACGTCACTAACTGATACCTATCATCTTACATAGGCGTCTTAGAGTGCAATCAATATTTAATCTGGTCTAGAAAACTTTCATAGTAATTTCAGCTACATCACTTTAAGTACTACTCTGTAAATTTCAGCAAAATAGAGAGATTACATCACATGCTTGGAACAATAATATGAAGACAAAAGAAGCATAAGATGGAGGATTTCATCATGAGCTTACATTAGTTAGAGAACCACTGGAAAACCTGAAAGTACTGAACAGCTGTTTCATCCTATCTAGGACTCTTCACAGTACGCACCCACCATGAGGGTTCCAACCCAGGATCTTCTAGTTACAAGTCGAGATCGTAGACCATTGATCCACTGGTATTTAACAGGTAGTTAACCTGGGGTTCTAGTGGAAAGCCGTGACCAGTAGGGTACATCATGTTGAAAATGAGGCAGTAATTCATCGAAGAAGATATTGCGAAATTATCGCGCTATGTCATGAATTGGCAGAAGTTAGAATTCATGGGCTGGCCATTGGATCGTGTCCCAGTGACTCAGTGGTCTGTGAGTTCACTAGCCTTGTAACCAGAAAGTCCTGCGTTCGAACCCCAGTGGGTGCGTACTGGTGGAGAGTTCCGAACTAGGACGAAACGACTGGCTGTCCAGTATTCTCGGGTGGGTTTTCCAATGGTTCTCCGACCAATGTCAGCTCATGATGAAATCTTCCATCCAAGCAAACAAAGTCCCTGCAAAAACAATACTTGCAAAGAAGAATAATCTACCTTAAAATCGATTTGCATGGATAAGATGGTTTTTAGAAAAGCCTGTCTTCTTTTTTTAAGTTTGACAAAAAGTGCAAACCAAGTAAACATAATTAGATGAGGATGATGATGATAATGGTGGTATGATATGATATTATCGGTATGATATTCGGTTAATTTATGATCCTAATCACATAAAAGCATTTACATGTTGTTTTTTTTCAATTGAATTAATTCCTTATCTCTATTCGTATCAGTACGATTAACAAGGAAACAATTTATTTGTTTTTAGGCTGTAATTAGTCAAAGTTAAATAGTACGCCAAACATTTATCGATAAACACTGTTTATTATTATTAAGATAGCAAAAATGTATATGTGAATCAATGTAAATTATAACCTCAAATCTTATTGTCTACTCCAGGGGAGTTTTAAAAGGTCTACGACCAAATAACTTTCAAGTTTCTTACACGAAGTCAAGAAAAAGCATCAAGGAGGTTGGTAGCGAGCATTAAAACGTACACCTATTCATTGTGTACTACGGTTCTTGGCATCATTAGTATCAACTGACAGTTTTTTGCCCAATAAGATCATGCATCTACTATCTCTGTTAGCCTAGTAAGGTGATGAAAGCTTCGCAAATTAACTATCCAGCTCAGAAAACGAAACCACATCAAAGTCCTTAAAACCTTCCAAAAACTTTGGTCCGGATGATGTACCAGCTATTTTCCTCAAAAGATGTGCGGATATTTTATGTTACCGTCTAACCAACATTTTCAATACTTCTTTTTCCAGTAATGTTGTGTATACCGCAAGGAAAGACATTAAAATTATTCCAGCACCAAGATCATATACTGTTACAAATGTCAAATTTAAACCTGTTGCGATTACTTTTCGAAAATAATGGAAAAATTACATTTACTCAACCTTAGACCTTCTTTGTGCGTCGGTGGCACAGAGATAGAATGCTCTTTAACCAGACAGGTGGCTCGAGGTTCAATCCCCAGCCATAGACGCACTCCTTTACCTCTCTAAACCAGTAATAACACTTGTAAAGAGGGAAGGTCGGGCATGAGGCTAGCAACCCCATCCCATAAAAATAAACATCATTGCTACCAAAACTTCATGCATGTAGCTTGAAGCCCTATGTTCCACTGGAAACGTGAAGGAATAAAAAAGACTTTACTTGAGAAGTTTTATTGACCCTGAACAGTTCGCACATAAACAGGATGGATGTACTTCATATGCTGCTGCTGTTATACAACGTAAAACTTTTTCCTGTTCAGACAAAGGGGTCAGATATGTTTGATTTGCCTTTCTGCACTACACAGCAGCCTTTGACTCTGTACCTAGATGTCTTCTGCTAAACAAACTTTCCTTGACACAAACAGAGTCCTGAGCCGTTAACTAGGTGCAACCTTATTTTTCTGAAATAATGCTGTATACTGTATATATAGGCAAATCTCCCTCTGCATTGCTTAATGGAACCGGTTTGCCTCAAGGTATTGTTCTCTCTGCTTATCTTTTTTCTTCTTACATGGCTTGCTTGTCTCAGGTGAAATCAGATTCGTTCAATTCTCTGATGATCTAACTGTCTCGTTGTCTCAATCTGACTATTCCAAACTGAATAGCTTTTCGTCGGACATCAGCCAATGGTCTAAGCTAACTGGTCTTACTTTAAATCCCTCCAAATGTTAGACAGTTAACTTCACCTCCAGGCATAAACTCAGCTTACACGAACTTGTGCGTTCATAAGATACTTGTAGCATAGAGGACAATGAAATAGAAGCTAAGTCGAGTATCAAATACCTTGGAATAGTTCTTTCCTCTGGCCTTTCTTGGTCATCCCATATCTTGTCGATTTATAAGAAAATATTCCGTTTAACCTTCTACGTTAAAAAGTTAAGACAATCAGACAGGTATCATTTGCTCTCTGATTTTACAATCTGTTAACTATTACATCTTACCTAGTTCTTTATTTCCCTTAGTCTTTCCTGGGCTTCTCAGAAAGGACTATGTCATATTGCGAAGGATATTAAAGGTTGTCAGTAGGGTAAGTGGCGTGGCCACTAAGTCAGCTCGTCATCACTGTAGTCGACGAACATCTGAACTCTTGTAAGAAATGGTCTAAATCGATATTGTCTGACCCTCAGCACCCTCTTTATTCACAACTATCCCCCTTGCATCTAATGAAGCACGCCTAGAAGCCATTATAAAAGAATATATGCTCTCACAAATAGGTACAAAAATTCAAAGATACTCTACTTGACTCGCGTTCTATGTGATAGAGGAAGTGTTAACCGTGAAACTTATAACTTACTAAGCAATTAGCGAAACAAATGACTCTTTGCTCTTCTCCCATTTGTAATTTATGGTTAAGCTATTTCTATTATTTTATAGATTCAGTTATTATTATTATTACTTCTACAGTCATTATCATTTTATACGTTTTGCACATTTTTGAATCTATTGTTACTGCGACAGCCAAAAAGTTGCAATTATCAATTTTGGTTACCTATTCTATGTAATATATATGTTCTTGTTGTTATCGTTGAGTAAATTAAATGCAATACTGTACCAAATGCTGAGAACTCCATGCTGTATCATAAGTACTGTTTTGGAATAAAGCGAATTATTATTTCCAATAGTTGGTTTGTAAGGATTAGATTTGTTTTTACGAGTTCGACCACGGATTCGTATCAGTTGGAGAATCATTGAAAACCAGGAAGTACTGAACAGCTGTTTCATCCTAGTTTTGGAATCATCGTTAGTACTCACCCACTGCCAGGGTTCGAAACCAGAACCTTCCAGTTATAATGCAAGCTCGTATACCGTTCAGCCACTGGGACCCGATTCAATGGCCAGTCCATGAATTCTAACTTCTACCAATTCGTGATTTAGCGCGTGGTCAATGAATAGGGTTTCAGTGACTGAATGGTATACGAGCTTGCCCTGTAACTGGAAGGTCCTGGCAGTGGGTGAGTCCTGCCAATGAATCCAAAACTAGGATAAAACAGCTGTCCAGTACTCCCAAGTGGGTTTTCATTGGTTCTCTAACTGATATCAATCCGTGATCAACTTATAAAAACGAATTGTTATTATTAAAGAAAGTGATAAATAAAGCTGGCTTATACACATATCCCAGATGTTCACTTATCATAAAGAAGAAGATTTCTATTTTCAACACAAATGTTAAGTCAATCAGATCTCCTATATGTGTCAGAAACATGGCGTGTCATGAAAAGCATTTCCGACAGGCTAATTCAAACTTTCATCAACAACTGTCTCTACTCTATACTGAAGATCAAATAGCCAGCCAGAAAGAATTAGCAACAAGAAATTCTGCGGTGCAACTAACCAACCAACAGCCGATTGCTTAGCAAATATGTAGGAGAAAATGGAGATGAATAACATCAAGCGCCAGCCAATCGTTCGAGTGGAAACCTAATGGTAAGCGATGAGTGGGTTGTCAATGCAAGGGTGAAATGGATGAGATGATGCAAGGAGGAGAGGAGAGATTATGGTCAATAGTGGTCTCAGCTGAAGAGGACGGCAGAAGATTGAACAAAGTGGTGATGTGTTGTTGAAGCCTTATGTTCCCGTCGAAATCCAAGGAGGTAATAATAATAATATACACATACTGTTTGTGAATAATCCTACAAATCTCAGCAAATCAACTTACCTAAAACCATTTTTGCCGGTGTTTCCGGTGGAAGCCAAAATAGTACTAGTGTTAATGAAGACAATAAGAAACAGGGAAGAATCAAAATGTAGTTGTAGTAGGCTGCTTGACGTTGAATGCTAATGTAAAACTTTGCATCAGTATATTGTTCTGGACAACAAGGATATTCACGTGATCTGTGTTCTTGCCAAATTTTTAATACTGACCATTCAGGACTTTCAACATAATCCTTCAGTGTGAACCCTTCATCATAGAAGGTTATATTGACACGGGCACTAAAAGAGAAAAATTGTAAAGTAAGTGCATAAATGACATTCCAGAGTTTAATTACGGCAAACCACTTCTTAAAGATTAAAAAAATTCTACACTGCTATTTCATACTGTCAATTTAATCGCTTTTAGAAGATTTGATTTTCATAATGTTTTCCAGTTTTTCTTATTTAATTATGACGTTTTCTGTCTACAGACATTATTCAAATCACTGATTTTCTTCTACATGGATATTGTCATTCCTTACATTGATTTCTTTTTATTCCCAGTGGAACATAAGGCTTCAAGCTGAAGACTTGAAGTTTCGGCAGCGGGATGGGGTTGCTAGCCTTATACCCAACCTTCCATCTTTACTTGTCTTATTACTGGCTTAGAGAGGTAAAGGAGTGCTTCTGTTGCCGGGGATCGAACCCTGGACCAGCTACATGGCTGGTGGTGGTGATAGTATCTATTATTCTGCTACAATAAACTGAAAGAATACATAGCCTGGGACAAAATCAAGATGCAGATTTATATTCGCATATAAAAATGACACAGAACATTTTAAACATTGAGATTTATCGTTTCTTCTACGCGGCTGGTAATCATTCTTCCTGTGACTGCCTTTTAGCTAACAGGAGTTTTGAAATCAAAATAAACTTTTATATAAATTTTCAATGTTAAATGTTGGAAAGATTTAATTCATTTATCAATGAATGGTATCTGACCTATCGAACAAATTCACTGACCACTCTTGAATAAAAAGGGCGGCTTGCTTTAATTACTGCGCTACCTAAATGCATCTTATTTACTTTAATTCTTGTTGCTATGATCACTCAATTACGTCTGTGGGTTGCCAAATGTACTCATGCACATTTCGCATTGGTTTGCAGCTTATCGCTGCTCATTTTAGGGGACCAGAGAAAAATAACGTGAAATATCATAACTGCCTTGGCCTGCTATAGGGTTTGCAAATTAATAAATATTTTAGTTGGTGGATGGTGACTAGCAGTAGAATCCAGGATTCGCGCTTCGTCCTATTTGAGACTTGTCTACTGGATGTACCTGCATTCCGCAGTGAGTGATGGTGTTTCTACTGAGGCTCGTACCCAGCACCCATAGTTTCAAACGCCAAAGCGTTATCCACTAGACCAGTTGGGCCACGAAACCCACCTTTTGGGTCATATTAATTGTTTACTGAGACCGAGCACTTCGGTCCAATCAGTCGACGAGAAAATCTAAAATTGAGTCATAAATACCTTATTACATCGGTCTTTTTGATATGGCCCTCTTTCCTGTACATATAAATTCCCCTACCCCTTGTCATTACACTTGCATTAACTAACCTTTTTTATTTTTTTATTTAAACGTAGTAATTAACTGACATACTGGCACATATACGACTCATGAAAACTCAACCTCAGAAATCATTTTTCTCTACCCCCGTCCATCTGAAGTCATATAATCAATATGAATGGAACCTAATATGAACGTGACTCATGCGAATTTATTATTGTACATTCGTTGTCACTCATAATTATTTGCTTTGTATTATTGGTGTTCAATTTGGCGTTACAATTTTACATATTACCACATACACATATAATTTGGACTATAATCTATTAATTAGTATTCCATATTATGAATTAAAAGTCAATCTGAACGAAGAATATTCTTTTCAATAATTTCTCTTCAGGTTCTTACAATTATAAAATATAATATTTGTTGTCGTTACAATAAGGCCAGTTATGAGGCGATACATTTTTAACGTAGAATAACAGATTAGTTATGGGGTGTCAAATAAATAGTCGTATTTGTGTGACAAACGTGCTAGGTGAAATAACAATGGTGATTAATCATATAGATTTGTGGGGTAGAATTGACAAGTCAGTTCAGGTATAAAAGGTCAGTAGGCTAGTACAGAATAATGACGAATAAAAAAAAAAAAGAAGGTGCGAATATATTTCTAGCAACTAGAAATAGTCCGTTGAAAGAGAAATAGCAAATATGGAAATGTATTGTCGTTACATGGATGACACTTTTGTAGTGTACGATGAAGGGTTAAGTAGTGATTTGATTTTGAGCAACTTCAATAATGCTCACCCAGCGGTCCATTTCACCTACGAAGGAGAATGCAGCGACTCTCTACACTTTCGACGTCCACTACGAAAGAGAGGATGGTTCCGTCAAAGAACCATATTTAGAAAGTAGAGACCAAAGCTCAGTATACACACTTCCTTAGCTTTGTACCGATGAAATACAAACGCAATCTAATCAGATGCTTAGCATTTAGAGCAAGGTCGATTTGTTCCGAAGACTGTGTAGAGAAAGAACTCCAGGTCATCCGAGACATTCTAAGTGAGAACGGATATCCAGAGAAGTTCATTAAAGCAAACATAGGTTACAATAGCCGTAAACATGAACTGACAACAGTGGAGAAAAAGCCTCTGTTTTTACGTCTCCAATTCAAGGGAGATACTCCTGCGGAGATTCTATCGCAACGTTTAACCAGGGCGATCAAGAAAACTTTCTACTCTGCACGTCTGTGTCTATCCTTCAGTAGCCGTCCAATGTTCACCCAGCAACTCAAAGATGTTTTACCTAATCTTAGCTCTTCTTCATGCATATACCATTTCAACTGTTCCTGTGGTTCAAGTTATATAGGGCGCACGATTAGGCAGGTTCGTCTACGGGTTCGAGAACATATACCAGCTTGGTTTAGCAGAGGGGAAATTAAGTGCATAAAAAGCTCGATCCTGTCACACTTGGTCGATACTGGACATCATATCGATGTCAACACAGCTTTCAGGGTTATATACCGAATTCCGAAGTCGTTATCACGTACAGTTCGCTTACGTCTTCTACACATAGCTGAAGCTGTTGCAATAAGATCGACTAAACCGGAACTTTGTATCCAAAAAGAACACGTCCAGACGCTGTTCCTACCGTGGCCAAACTTGGATTGATGATTCTTCTTCTCACCAAGAGTGCTCCTTCCCCTTAACCCTCTTGGCTTTTTTTTTTCCTTTGCTTATTATCACAATTATTACTATTATTATTATTATTAATATTATCATTATTCGTCATAATTTATGCCCTTCATGCAAACATTCTCTCAATACTATCGAATTTTTTTTTTCGTTTATACTATCCGGACTTATTATTAGTGATATTATCTCTTTTCTCAATATATGCCTCCACCTGTTTCATTTCACATATTCGTTATCTCATTATGAACCTCCCAATGCAGTCTTACTATCTCCTGTTTAACACAGACCACTTTGTACTAGCCACTCACCTGACACCTTTTATAACCTTGAACTGACTTGTCAATTTTCCTACCCCCACTCTACAAATCTATTATGATTAATCACCATTGTCTCCCGTTTTACATTATTTTGTAATCGAATTCAGCCTAGCACGTTTGTCACACAAATACGACTATTTATTTTGACACCCCATAACTAATCTGTTATTCTACGTTAAAAATGTATCTGCCTCATAACTGGCCTTATTGTAACGACAACAAATATTATATTTTATAATTGTAAGAACCTGAAGAGAAATTATTGAAAAGAATATTCTTCGTTCAGATTGACTTTTAATTTATAATCTATTAACAATCTAATTGCAAATAACTTTCGGAATTTTGTTCTAAATGATTCGATGTTACTCTTTATTTAAAAACCACTAATGTTGTCAATCACAATCATTCTTTCATTATTATTATAGATATACAACTGTAGAACCTGATGATGGAGTTATCGAAAAGAATATTATTTAAAACAAGCAACAAAAGGTAATGAAGCAGGATTTAATGAATTTTATCAAATTTGAAATTCGTATCGGGAAAGAAGTGTTTCCAAGAATGCTTGTTGTTTAATAATCAATCTTTTGAAATAACACAAAGGATGATTTTGTTCGTCAGACCGAACAGCACACTGCGTCACATGATGTACTGGAGATGGCTGTTTTAATTAAAACTCTTGGATGAAGAGAAAATATTGTGTGAAAATTATTATTTTTATTTATTTATTTATTTTGAATACAGCTTGAAACCATACCGTATTTTCAGTACAAGTATGGAATTTTCAGCATGGATATCGGTAGCCCAAATTTTGCAGGCCGACCATAGATATCGGTTGTGCGTAGGCAGATGATCGAACCCCGGACCATGTTCATGGTCGGCGAGAGTCCTAACCACTGTGCCACCGACGCACACATATGCATATTATTATGTTAACTTATTGTACAGAATAAAGCAATCACTAATATTATTATTACCGCTGTGACTCTCATCGCTGAATTAAGCCACTTCACCACTAAACGATTCATGTCATAACTTATTTTTCTTTTCTGCAGAAAAGCTTTTAGAAACATTCTCAAGGTCTCTTAGAAATTTCTCCCTTATCATGATTAGTAAAACACTTATAGTATTTAATCAGGATCATTCAAAGTTAATTTGTGTCAAAGACAGTGTGCTTGATCGAAACCACTACGGTAGCACTAAGTTAAACTTTGTGGAATGAAAATATAATACGGAAACAGTTTTCTTCACATAACCACACATAATCAGTCGAATATGAAGTGACTAAATGCTCTGTAAGGAAGTCTACTCTAACTTATCTCAAGTTTTTATTACAACATGCTTGTTACAGTTTAGAGTCCTTGATTAACCACTTAAGAAACACACTTGGGAGCACTATTCAGTCTGGCTAGCAAAGGGAGAACACAAGTGTGTGTATATTTCCGTAACAGAACAATTGGTGAACTCAGGATATCAAGCACCATTTGAAATTATCAAAAGTCAGATCAAGGCGTCTGAGCGTAGTTGAGGCTTTAGCGATCCAAAAATTCAAGCTCACGCTATGCATTTAAAGGAAACACGTTCAACCACTGTCTCTACCATGACTATAATAAACAGCCACCTCTCTCAATAATTATAATCCTATCACGTTTCTTATTCAAACTTCCTGTTTATTTCTGTTATTTTTACGTTTTTTAATCCCTATTCGCATCACTATGT